ACGTGTTAAGTGTTTTAAGTTTGAAATTACTAATATTGCCTCAGGAAGGGAATAAATAAGTTAACTAAATATTACGTTTATTTTTGAGTGACATTTTTGAATAAGGACCCAGTAAACCCAGTTTTGATTTATTGCAAATTCAGAAGACTTTAGCAATTACTTTATTATTATGGTCATTCCAGTTAATATTTTTATTAACCCTTTCGCACCGACTGTCACAAATACGTGCCAGCATGAAACCGTATCAATCAGGGTAAAAAGATAAAACTGGTAACCAAAGTAGTTCCTTAGCAGCTTATTTGTAGGCGGGGTAATAACTCTTTGTTTTATTTAATTCACCATGACTTTAGTTCAAAATAAAATTATTATTGTATAAATTGAAATATCATTGATTATATATATGATTAAACTAACAATACTTAAAGTAAAAGCAAAGTAAGTCTGTCAAATTAGCAACGCCTACGTTTAAGTTACCGTTTTTTATTTATTTACATCCTGATTCGGATTTTGTACGAATGCTTTTATGAATCACGCGTTCCAAAGGGGTTAATTGTGAGGCCCAAATCTGTGCTCGTATCCAGAAGCACCAACTGCTCCGGATTCGACAATATACTTTAAAAATCAGTACAGAACTGCAAACTATTTTAAGATTTTCAATTAAATATGCCAACTTTCAAAGGAGCTCCAATTTCTTCACACGGTTTCTTGTAGATCATGTAGATTTAGTACCTGTAGATCTTGTCTTATCCGACTTCTAAGGTAAATTGGTCTAAGCAAGAGACATTTAATTGAAAATCTCGTAAAAATAAGAAACTGGTTCCAAATGTATGTCAATTTTTTTTTGTATGATTAGTTTGTCTTATTTACTCGTTAACCACTACAGATGCAATTCTCAACCTATTGCAGTAAAAAGTTCAACTAAGAGATGTTTTTTTTCAAGACCTATAGAAGTTGGTAGCTAATCCATATGCATACCTGCCAACATTCACTCTTTTCGAGAATGGATTTACCAAGTGGTAGTAAAACAATTACCGAAAAACTATCTTCCTCAAAAATATATTTATATTTTAATCAGGTTGAAATTCGTTATCCTAAGGAATAATATGCTTTTATATATTTGTTGTAATTATTTATATGTAGTGGTGGTCAAGCTGATTTTTAAAATTACAAATATAACTTGAAAAATTTTAGTGAAATAACATGAATTTCGATAGCACTTTAAATATGAAAATAAAATCGTTCGGGAAAACCGGAAGAGTTGGCAGCTATGCATATGCTTCCCCTCGTACATTCAATGCATTTGCTAAATATTTTAATCAGTGGTAGTGAATTAAAATAGAAATTTTTTCAAACAAATGAAATTAGTATATTATTTAAGGATATGACTGTAGTTTTATTTCACCTTAAATAGGTCTGTTCAATTTCTTAACCTTTAGACGAGTCATAAATGTATTCCTATGGAATCAGAATGTGGATAAGGCAAACAATAAAAAAGCATTAGCTTCACCTTGGGCATGGCTTGACAGACTTATTATTTTTGCTTTCACTTTGAATCTAACACATCCAAATCATGTTTGTGAAAAGTGTAGCACTATAATTTTTAATTTGAAAAAGTAGTGGCGAATTAAATAAAGCAAATTATTATTTCCCAGCTCAGGAACAAACTGCTATAAAAATTAGTTTAGTTCAATTATAGTTAAACATAACATAAAAAACGCTGTTCTGGAGATTTCCGCATCGTGATCTGTGGCAGAATAATCTGAGGAAAAGTTTTGGCAGTTTCCGGGAAGTGGCAGCGTGGTTTTTTTTGTAGGTAGTCTGATCAGACCACTATGAAGGTAAACAAGTTTACGAGCGAAGCATTTGATACAAAATCTAGTAAAAGTTCGATAGTGGTTGCAAATATATATCTAAAAATTCGTTTAATTTTTGAATATAATTGGTTTGTCTTATTTACTTGTCTACCACTACCGATTCAATTCACAAATATATATGATAAACTTCTCTCAATTAACGTTAGATTTCATCAATTATGTTCTTCATTTTTCAAAAGTCAATTATTGTACATATCAAATCATGTTATATCTTTATTTTAAATTAAAGTCTACAATCAATATTTCTAATGTTATGTAAAAACGTCAATTTGTCATTCTGAATTTTTCATTGTTTTATTATTTCACAAGCGAACGGCTTGATTTTTTTTTATGGCTACCACAATGTATTCGAATGAACTTCAATGTATGTCATAATTAAATATGTGCTAGTTAAAATATAGAAATTTAATTAGTGAAATATGTATCAATTTATGTTAATATTTATTTATGTCAACTTACGTATATATATGTCAAATTATGTTTATATTTATATATATCAACTTAGATTCGATGAATCAGATATTCAAATGTTATATTTACTCAAGCAAAGTGCTTGTTTTTCTATTAGCTACCACATCGACTGCTAAATTCAAAATGTTATTACTATAAATTTTCTGTAAATTTCTAGATGTATGGGATAGGGGCCGCTAAGAGGCCCAGGTGCCCAATTTTTGTAAATAAAAGTAAAAAAGTAACGTTAGACGATTTTGATTTTTCTCTTTCGTTAGCCAACTGAACTGAGAGTAGGTTGTGCTCACTCAAGCTCCGACGAATAAGAATCATGCCATATCATCGACCTGCACGCGGCGGGAAGGTTTCACCTCCCGGCCGGCGAATTGAAGTCGACACATCGGAACTCGACACCGTCTCAACGAAACTTGACGCTGCGATCTCGAATGCCAGTGTGGTTTTCACAGATCTTTCGACTAGGCTCAACGCTTTCAAAAACCTCGATCCCAACTTCTTCCTGGAAATAATGGCCTCAAGAAATGCAACTCCTTCATCCTCCGTGGAAGTGGAAACATCGACAGAGCCTGTGCCCGATCCCGAGCCCAGGGTCCCCACACCTGAGACTCCTGCCGTTCCCTGTATCACCCTGAATTCTGAGCCTGATGAAGAAGCCTCGGCGTCTGAACCAGTGTCTGCAGAATGCCCCACTAGAGAGCCTCCGAAGAAGAGACGGAAGAAGAAGAAAAAGTCAAAAGCCACCAAAGCCTCTACCACAGCTAAGCCTATTTCCTGCCCATTGCCTTCCGAAGCTCTTCCGTTGCCGGAGACACCCCCACCTGCCCCGACGGAGACCACCGAGAAAGTTCCCACTGATGCTGCAGCACCTACCAGGCCCTTTTAAGGGCCAGCAAACAATGCTGAGAATTCACCAAGGTTCCTGAAAGTACTTTTCCGAGGACTCCCGAAGGACTCTAACCCAGATATAATTTCCCTAGAATTAGGGAGATTAAACATCGAAGTTCACAAGATTGTGCAGTTTAAGAAGAGGGTGGGTGGAGCCTATAGGCTCCTCCCACTGTTCCTGGTGATAGTCCCCAAGCTGGCCAACCATGAAAAGATTTTCTTCACCGAGATGATCAAAAACCACCCGGTCAGCATTGAGCGTTTCCTGGGCGGCCGGCGGCCGCTCCAGTGTTTTCGCTGCCAAGCATACGGACGCACACAGAATTCCTGCACTGACCTACCAAGATGTATGAAGTGTGCCGAGGGGCACTACTCCTTTCAGTGCACGAAGCCGAAGGACACTCCTGCAACTTGTTGCAATTGCAAAAAAGCCCACACTTCCAATTTCTCAGGGTGCGAGGCCCGCCCCTGTAGAAAAAATTTACAAGGAAAAAGTCCACCCCAGCCTCAACTGCCCACAGACTTGTCTCACTGATAAAAGAACTCCAAGAGTTAATGAAAGATGAAGAAGCCCTAAGCCTTCTTCAAGCCCTACTACCCAACACCACCCTTATTCCTACATCTTAGATGGAGAAGCACATAGCCCTTCCGGGCTAGGTACTTCGAAAAACTTGATTACTTACAGTTACAGTAACGTTAGACGTCAATACTACAGGCGCCTACGGGCACTACATTATGATGAAGGAGTGCAGTGTCCGCTTCGCGCACAGGTGCCCCGTATAATACTTCAGCCTAAGCCTAACGAAAAACAAGCTTTGCATTGACAACATCACAGGCACCTACGAACTCAAGCTCATATCAAAGAGTCAATTGTTCGCTTCGCGGACAGAATACCTTTCAACTCTTTCGGATTTTTCGGAAGATTTTATTTTCATATTTAAAGTGGTAGCAATACTCATGTTTTTCCAATTAACTTTTTGAATTATAATGATAATTATAAATGAGTTTGACCACCACTACAAATAAATAATTACAATAAATATATAAAAGCATAATAATCCTTGCACAAGCGAATTTCAACAGGATCAAAATATAAATATATTTTTGAAGTCAGATTGTTTTTCGTTTATTGTTTTACAACCACTCTGAAAATCCATTCACAAAGAGAGCGAAAGTTGGCAGGTGTGGCACAGGCACTCTGTAAGAAACACCAGTTCAAGTAATGTTAGAAAAGAATTTGGATTAATGCGCACAACTGGTTCACTTTTTAAATAGTCTGCGCATACTGCTTATAAAAAACCGCGTGGAGGCTTTCTGATCTAGGAGGTAATGGCAGTGACCGGCAAGAAATTAAAAAAAAAATTATAGAAAAGGACCAACTTGAAAGGAATAACTCGTAGCCACTTTCCTGCAAACATCTACATTTATTTTTAAAAAATCTATTTCGCACCTTGGCGATTGAAGTTGGGGTGATAGATCACGATGCGGAACTATATCCACAAATAGTTAAATATAGCATTTCTACATTTTTTTTTATCCTAATTGTCACTGAGCTGAGAATGCAAGTATGACTCGCCCGTTTCGAAGAGGTAAATATGTATTGGTGAAGAAATTTTTGAAAGTTCTAATTTATTAAAATATCAATTATCTTCTTTCCTAGTAGGAAAAATATTTTTCGAACTACGGAATTCAATAGTAGGTGTTAGAGGGTAAGCTTGTTGTTTTAAAAAAAACAGAATTTAAATCAAATTAAATTAAAGAAGTAGTCATAAATTGTTAAACTCATATTTTTTATTTCAGAGTCTTACATTTACATTATACACTGCTAGTCAAAGATGATACAATATTTCATTATGTCTGTTTTATATCCGCGGAGTTACAATAGATATAGATTAACTTGTAAAAGGCATTTGTGTCTGAAATGATACAGTTAAAGTGTGATCCAAATAAAATGAAAGAGGACATGTCATCTATCACGGAAATTGTGTGGGGGAAAAACATAAATTCTATGGCAGTTTGGAGATTTGCTCACTTGAAGAATCGTCAAACCTTTTTCCTCTAGTGGCAAAAAATGACATCGGCCGCTTAAGAGCTAGTGGGAAGAGAAAAAAAAAGTAATTTTAATACAAATATGCAATCTTATACTAAAATTAGAAACACTAAAAATTGTTTAATGTCTGAGTAAAGATATGAATTAAGATAATTACAACTGAAACTAAAAATCAGGATTTATATTGGTTATATTTTTCATTGGCATGCTTAGACTCTTTTGCTCCTGACTACTAATGCGTAATGTATGTATCCAGCGTGTCATCCAACCATAGTCACTTACTTGACTTGTAGTTTTGACAGCGATCGGATGACATGGATACCGCCTGAGATGGTATCCGTATTTACTGTAATCTCTCCGCATTTACACACAATAACCGACGAAATGAATTTCATGCATGACATATTTAAAATGCACCTCGATGCGCATATACGCTGGTTGTTGCTGTCAGGATTGAACTTACAACATCTCTCTATCAGAGATGTGTGCGACGCCTTAGCCTCCACACTCCAAGCGGTTTTTTGTAGGTAGTCCGATCAGACCACTATGAACGTAAACCTATTAGTGAAAGAACCATAAAATCTATTAAAAAGTAGAAAGTGGTAGCAAATATATGTCTAAACATTTTATTAATTTATGAATATAATTGGTTTGTTTTATTTAATTTGCAACCACTACAGATTCAATTCTCAAATATGTATGATAAATTTCTCTCAAGTACTTTTAAAATAGAATTTTGGTTCATGCGCACAAATGGTTCGCCTTTTAAATAATCTGCGCACACTACTTATAAGAAACCGTGTGGAGGCTTTCTGGTGTAGGAGGTGATGCCATAGTCAACTGTGGCAACGCAGCTCCCTCATCGATTGTCATGAATTGAGCGCTACAACAGGACATGCCTTGACCAGAGGACCGTACAGAAAATAAAGTTTATCTATTGAGATAGAGTCGTTATTTCTCCATATTGATGGAAAATTCTTTTTGTCCAAGGATTTTGCAATAGTTTTAATGTTGAGTTGGTTTGAGGTGTTGGAGAGACAGCTTAGCCTCATTTTTTTGTTATAAAGTCCATAAGTTATATTATCTTTCTGCCAATTAATTTATTTCTTAGAACTGATAACTTTCATACTTTCACGTGTGGGAGATTAGTCTCAATAAGCGTTGTGTCCTGTTACAAATGGCTGCATGAAGCATCACTGCACCAGCAAGGTCACAGATGCAGAGGTTCATTGTTGATGGTTTGAAACGTTCAGTATATGATCTGAACGGATATCATCGGCTTTCATAGTCTACGATATCCATGCTGATTCAGAATTGCAGTTCAAAAATCTACATGTAGGTAAGAACCATCAAGCCATATTCATATCATATATTCCGTTAACAACTCGTTCGTCTACTTTTGATACTTTTCTTTTGGGTAACATGAAAATTCGAGTTTATAAAACCCCTGGGTTGTGGTGGTGGCACGCATTGGTACACTTGGTGGTGCGAAATGATTCTGCAAGTGGACTTATGACAGTCAAACCCGTTTTTATTTTAATTCTTCCTTTTTCGAATATTCGTCGACTGATGTGCAATCGTTACTGAACGTGTAACTTCATCTACGGGGAGCAACTTTTGACATATTTAAAACAATATTGAGACAAATCGACTTTGTGTTATAAATTATTGCTCAGCCGAGATGGCTCAGAGAATAGAGAGCTCGCCTCAAAATGAGGTGCCCCGGGTTAGAATACCGGCATCGGTTGATTGAAAAAAATTTTGCACCCGTCTCGATTTAATTAAAGTGCTGCCGTAATTTATTCTTAGTGAAAGGCGGATCATGTGTTGGAGTCCCTTGCGTTCAGGTTAACAGTAGAAAGTTTTCTAGACATTCCTCCATAAGTAAAGCTTATACGGGTTAATTCCATTAAAAAGTATTACACTATGCCAAATTTCTCCCAATACTTGATCCAGGAGTTCCCTTGTTTTCTGGATTTTGTTGAAAATTAGAAGGCTACGGAATTGAACATTGGAGTTCCAAACTCAAAACTGGGTCAGCTGTTCAAAGATGGTTATAAAATAAGTTATTTCTAACATGTGACCCGTCACTGACTTAGTAACATTTAAAGCACTCGCATGGCGTTTACGCACATGCATTCATTAGCAATTTTTGCTTGATATCGGGTTTTTAACTTCCATGTAGATTTTTGAACAATAGTCTTAAAACATTTTATATATAGAACTCTCTTGCAGCTAAAACGTTCTTCTTCGTTTCGAATTCTTCGATTTAGAATTGATCATGATCGGTTTTTTTCAATTTAGATTTAACATTAGGTTTCTGTCGAAGTTTCATGGTAGCCCTTAGTGGAAGCTCTTAATTTTTCGTAAGTACGGTATTCCACATTTTCCGTATATGTTCATGTTTGTACTGTCTTTTTTTTAATATCTATCCGATAAAATAATGTCTTGCTTGTCAGTTTTCTCTAATTTCTTCAATTTTGGATTTATAATTCAGGCAATCAAATTTTGTCAATTTCGTATTTACAATTCTGATACCCTGTTTTTGCCAATTTTAAAATATTATTTATGCATCGAAAATTCTTACATGTAAAATGATTGATTTCCTCGTAAGTCTACAACTTAAACATTTTTTTTACGAAATATAAAGCTTTAATGTAATTTATAATTACCTAGACAGAATCGAAATTAATAAAATTATTTCAGTTTATTTTTTAGAAGCAATAAATATACGAAAATTAAAACCGACTACTAATGGCTATTGAAACATTGTTCTGAGTTTCCATCCCGAAATAGTTTTAAGTGTATTTTAACAATTACATCGTTCAATTAAAATCTAGAGTAACACTGATTAATTTAGCATTTTATTTACACAAAATTGTTATGAAGTGCTCTTAATCAAAAACACTGTTTATTTCTCAGAATCTACAGATTTTACGAGCATTTGTATCGCGGGTACTCGGCGTTGTGGGTCAAGGGAATCAAGATAATACTTTAAAACCTAAATTTTTGTACTACTGAAAAACAGTTTCTTTAACGATAGCAAAAGTTGTCATGTTGCTTATAAATAAGGTAAGATAGTTTTTTTAAGTGTAACATAAAAAACGAAAGTTAATGACTTTTTATGCAATGATACGAGTATATGTTAAAATGTTTTTTATGTGTTTAGTCATGGGTTAAAATAAATTTAAGAAAAATCAACTGAAAGTTAGCTATTAGCAATTGAATTTTTTTCACTAAAAAAATAATAATCACATAATCACTAAAAAAAATTTCAAAGAGCATGTGATGTCATTAGTGCTTTTAACTGCCAAATGTTATAAAAATAATGACACTGTGAAACAATTTTTTAATTGGAAAAAACGTTCTCCGGTATGCAGAAATAAAACGAAAACATAGTTAAACGGTGAATTAAATTGCGAAAAAAAGTCTTCCGGCAATGACAAAGAACAAAATCAAAACAAATTGATTGGCACATTTATGATCCAATAGATATCGGTCTATATTTGAAAAACACTTTCTGAAAAAAGTATTATAGTGTTAAAAGTAATGAAGTATGAAACTGTTATTTTTGTCTTCTGGAAATTGGCTTTAAACGTTCGACCCAATTATGATTAATGTTCAATTCTTTAGTTAATTTTGATCCCAACCAAGAAGACAAAGAAATCCCGGATCAAACATTGGGGCAAACTAACCCTCATGGAGGATTTCTTCATGGAACTAATCCCCGTTTGTGTTGCATGCAGAAAAAAACCCACGGAAACCTCACAAGGTTTGCCTAATGGCAAGGGGAGTCTAACTCATGATCCATCTACTATTCAGTATATTTTACGTCAGCACTGTGAAATGCTCAAAATTGCTGTCACTGATGGTAAGACAAGCTTAGTAGCATTAGTAGTGGGAGTAGTAAACACACTGAGTATAATACACTGTATTTCACACTGATATAATACACTGAGTATTTCGCACGCGGCTCCGTCCTGAATAGTCGAGTGATGAGTTATTCAGTGGAGTCAACTGAAGTTTCTCAATTAAGGTTTTTTAAATGACCTTTAGAACAATAAATGGACACTCGCTAAATCTTGTAATCATTGGAACGGCCTTCCACGCCCAATCCAGCGCATCGTAACTGCGGACTTTCACACAAAAATGGGTTAACGCGTCATCATAAAGATTCATATTTGTTTGCAAGCACGAGTTGGCACTTCTTGGAGCAATTCTTGTAAATCCTCTTCCTGAAAAATTCAATAACAGCTGCCAGTTGATCAGAGATATGGGCCCAGGAGGTAATCATTCACAATACCAGCCCAAGCATTTACAAGGAAGTGTTGTTGGTATACGTGTGTGTAAGGACTCATTAAAGCTGTGGGCATTGTAAACGCCTTCGACTGTAAAAGTCGCCTCATCTGTGAATAGCACACAAGCAGAAAAAGCAACTGAAACACATCCTACTGCAAGAACCATAATAAGTGAGCAACGCTTAGAGGTTAATCACAGGTCTGCAAAGCTTGGACTTTCTGGATGAGGAATTAGTGTAAACGAAGGAGGTTGTTGTCATGCAGAAGCCCTAGTTTGAAAATATCATTGAAAATGTCATTAAACAAGCATTGATATTAGCAGTACACTCGGAAAGAATAATTAGGTCGTCTCTGATAGTCTGATTTCTTACACTATAGAGATCGATCTGAGGATTTTATTTTGAATGACGCCAATTTTTAGATGCCCTGAAGCAAGATGTTTCTTGTTGCAGGGCACCAGGCTAGAGAAGATATATAAGAATTGGATGAATTACTTGAATGTATGGCCGTCTCCTCAGATGTAGAGGCATTTTTGAATATATTCCAAACTGAGGTTTAAGAGTCCTGCCTGTGCCTTATGTTTTTGAAATAACATGGTGCTACGCCATTTTGATTAAAGCGTAGTTCTACTATTAATGGTTAGGTACTTCTTATTTACGACTGAAAGTGTTAAAGATGATAATGTCTTTAGTAAACTTTCTAATAGATATTGCTCTATCTACATCTATAAAAACACGAATCAAG